GGTTTAATTTAAATGGATCGAAGGACCAACATCTAGATTTGTGTGATCAATTTTTATAGTTTCAGCAAGAAAGTTTTAGAATTCGAATGAATAGGCACATAATATTTTTAATGTATTAAATGAAGATAGCTTGAACCTTTTCCCTGCATTTAGAAGTGGTCTTTGGTAAGCAGTGGCAACTTATAGGCTGTTGGTGATGATGATTATGAAATGAACACATTAATATTTATATATATACGATTTATTATTGACTGCCTCATTGGCCGAGTGGTCGCAAGGGCGACTGGAGAACCTAACGGGTTACCGGGGCTCCGGCTCGCAGCGCAGGAGAAGGAAACTGATTAAAAACCACCCTGGGTTTTTAGTCAGTAAGAGTCTGACACTCCCTCCCGCCTCTCCTAGGCGGGAACAGTCATTCGATGATTTTTCCCCCTTAAAAAAAGGGCGACTGCCCGCAAGAGGTCTCGAGTTTGATTCCCGGATCGGGCAAAGTATTGCTGGCTTACCCCCTATTACATAGGACTTGTAACATAAATAGTGAAAAGTGGGTGTTACATTGTATAGTGGCGTTAAGTGCTGTAATGTGCACCTCTGCCTACCCCTTCGGAGATAAAAGGCGTGATGTTATATGTTATGATTTATTATTGTAATAACAGTTTCGGACCCCACTCAATTCAATAAACAAACAATTAAGTCTTTATGCTTTATCATAATAGTATACTAAATACTTAGGAGACATGTACAATTGTACACGCAAACAAACTACATGTAGAAAAATAAAAATAATCATAGGTAGATACTGAGGATATTGAACACAGGTACTTACAATTAATAAAAAAGACAATAAAATTATATTTACGAAGGTACCTATGTTTAAAATTATCATTTTTACCTTATTAACACCAGAATGTCGCAGTACATAGGTAGGCACTTATGGCGTCCCTTTAAAAAAAGTCGGCGACGACAGTTTTACATAAAATCGTGTTTTAAGTACCCGGATATTATGTACCTATGTAGCTTCTCAAACTTTGTAGCTAGGGATGATTTTTATTAATAATTTAATCAATATTACTAAGGCATCGATACTTATAATGCACGTTTCGTCTATTTTATTCTATTTCTCACGTTTCGTCTATTTCTATTTTATTGAATTTCATTAGCCTCATGAATATGTTTTATGGTGAATAATATAATGTTTAGACATGTTTTTGTAGATAAAAATGTACGTTAATCTATGTTTGAAAAAAGCTGTGTTTAATTGTAATTAATTTATTATTTACACATTGTTTTCATTTGAATTTAGCTAATCGTTTTGCATTTATCATAACTAAGTAGCTACAAAAATACTATAGCCTGAAATTTAATAAAGAAGAAAATACATATTAAATTACAATTTTAGGAAACCTATTTAGGCCATATCAATAGTCGACACACTAATAGACACCTTTATAATTATATAGACATGTATATGTAAATTACAATAATCAATATACATACCTACTCAATAAAGATTTATTACACAATAATTCAATAATGTGTGTATAATTGAAATATAATACATTAGACCTCTTTATTAAAGAATTCAATTCTCATTAAAAATACTTGTAACATAAACATTGTAAAGGGTTTTATTAAAAAGAAATAAGTAAAGGACAATGGTATTAGCGGATTATGAGTTTATAAAAGGTATTATGAAGATTTGGTTCCGAGTTTAAGGTGTTCGTAGAGCTGATCAGTTTTAAGTCTCAATAGAAGTATATATAATACATAATATTTTTTACTCAGGTAGAAATATTGGCAGGGCCATAAACAAAATTTTAAGCGATATGACAAACAGTATTTTTTTAAGGGGGGAAATCATCGAATGACTTCTCCCCCCTGGGTGAGGCGGAAGGGAGTGTGAGACTCTTACTGACTAAAAACCATCCCGTTCCTTCTCCTGCACGGCGACCCGGAGCCCCGGTAACCCGTTAGGTTCTCCGATGACAAACAGTTAGGTACCTGATGGCTAGTGATATTCACAATTATGTAGGTAAACTTATGCATGATGTTGTTTTTTAACAAAGCACTATACGTCTCAAACAATCTGAATTGACAAGACTTCCACATAGACATCCAATACGTAATATAGCCCTTAAGACTGTAACAAAAAGAGATATATTCCTATGTTTCAGGGACTTTTTCCTATTTAGTTCTCACGATAATGATGAGGAAATTTTTTTTTCAATGCCTTGTTTATTTATTTTTTTAAGGTGTAAATATTTTAGTTCATAGTTATTTATATTTTAAGTTGAATATATTTTCATTTTAGTAATAGTTAATATTAATTGTATATATAATAAATTATTAGAAATAATTATATTAAAGTTATTTAGTTCTAAGGGATTAAGTTTCCGCGAAGAATTTAACAGGTTACCGGGGCAGGAGTAGGAACGGGGTGGTTTTCAGAGACTGACACTCCCTCCCACCTCACCTAGGCTGGAGAAGGCATTGGACGATTTTCCCCGATTTAGTTTTAGCTAAATTTTAGCTACTAGTATCCTTATTTACTAATTATTGTTTCTACAAGAGTATGAGAAATTTCAGAACCACTGACCCTCGATATCATCACAGGACGATAACGCCTTCCTCAAGCGATGAGTCACAATAATGGCTGATGCCTGATTTATAATACAAAAACACGATAATGTTAATTATAAATTATGACATCAAGTTTTTATATTCAGACGCGGAACTTGGTAAGGGAATTTTTGTAGTTATATTAATTGCTACCCTAAAAAAACAAATTTAAATGCAATTTTTACACCCGGTTCTCGTAGGTCCTCTTGTTGTTTGTATCGTATGAAAATTATTGAGCTTTTAAAACGTTTAAATATTTTCCTCTTTGTAGAATACCTAGAGGTACCTTCTCAAATGTAGTAGAAATATAGAATAGTGAACAAATTTTCCGTTAGTCTATATCGTATAGTCATAGATATCTTATATCAAATCGTGGAGTAAAAAATGGATTTTCTTGCTCATTATACTCCATTCCAATCTACATTTTGGAATGAGCACCTAGCTTCATCTAGCTTCACTGACGGACTGACTGACAGACTATTATTTATTTTGTATTTGTTGACGTTACAAAAGTACCAAAATATGGTTTAATTGAAATAAATGTTTTTAATGTATTTATAATTTTATAATTTTGTCTTAGCTGTTATCTATTAAATCAGTATTCGTGTGAATCTGTAAGTGGCTCAATGTTTCTTTTTTTCTGCTAAATCTATGTAATGTAGCTGTTGATTCACCATTCAATAAATAAATAAATGCTTTGACTTTGACTTCGTGAGGGAAATTCCTCAATTCCTAATCCCCAAAAGGCCGGTACCGTACTTGTAACGCCTCTAGTGTTCCGGGTGTCCATGGGCGACGCCGATGGCTTACCATCGGGTGACTCGTCCGCTCGTTTACAGGCTTATACCATAAAAAAATCATTCATGTGTCATCTCTACTTAATATTGATGAATTTATATCCTAACAGGATCGACCACGATCATATCAGACATATTGAAAGCATTTTGTTGACGTTCAAATGTGCCTTTCTTAATTGAAATAAATGATATTAACTTTGCCATTACTATTCGAAAGTATTTGAGTTGGGTACTCTTTTTTTTCTGTAAAAATCATATCGTGACACAAACTAAATTGATTGGAAAATAAGGATTGTTCACGTGAACCATTTGAGAAAAGCTTCTCAATGTAAGTCACATTGGGACTCTTATTCAGAAGCAGCTTAATGGACGTCAATACAGTTTGTCCATAAGAAATAACGTTAGAGAAGTTGCAGGATCATTGTCATATTAGTTCTATGATGTCCACTGCTGAACATAGGCCTCCTCCAATGACTTCCAGATAGGCCTGTTGGAAGCGACCTGCTTCCTATATAAATACAAGTGAATATACTAATAATATAAATAGACAATCGTACGTAGATAGAGATAGGTAGCGAATTTTTTAAACAAACTCCATTCATAGATGCGAATAGATAAAAATAGAATAGTTATATTTGTAACACTACTTCTGCATATAGACAGAATTAACATGAAAAGCGGTTTTTCAGAAAACCTTGTGTTTTTTATCATTGCCTAAATATGTCGCACGTGTTTGTAGTATGTCTGTGTGTCCTTATATAACATATTGCTGTTAGGATATTATGTAAGAAACCCGGTAGCAGTTGGATATGAAGAACTGAAGATTCACTTCAATGGTATATTACCTATTGCTGAGGTCTGGATGCCGAATTGAGAATGGCAACAAGCTGATGATTAAGATGATGTAAATATTTATAAATGTAATATCTAAAAAGTTTAAGAGCTGATTTGTGTAGTAAATATGCCAAAAGAAAATAGAAAAAGGAAATTATAATAAGGCTAGGATCGTGATATATGTTGTACTATTCTTATATATTCACTTAATTTTTTCCTCTGACTTGGTTTAAAACACGATTACAGGTATTCCCGGGATCGGGGATATAAAATGAGTCACACTAAATCCTACTACAGCCTCATTATACGATTGCTTTTCGATATCTTAATTCCGAGTACTGCAAAGCAGCTTTTTACCCAAGCTAAAATAATCATTAAGATTTATTATTTACATCAGTGTCAGGAGATATCACCATGACATATTAAAATGCGGTTTCTTTGAGACGGGCCAATGATCCATAATACTTAGTTACAATATTTGTAAAGTTAAACACAAAACATAACTAGACAAAAAGTTATTTGTAAAAAAAATCAGACGTAGCCGCCTAGCGAAACTAGTTTAGATGGCGCGTCATACATCGCTGCCTTCAAAACAAACAAATAACTACATTTTTCATATAAAAACGTCGATGTAAGTGAAACGAAGGTCAAATGTCGCGAAGATGAGTCTTGGAACAAGTTCGGCGGGGCGGGGGCGGGGGCATGACGTCAGAGGAGGCTGCGACGATATATAGGAGATGCGCAGACGCATCTGACGGTTGTATATTAGTATATTTGAATAGTGTGAGCGCCAAGTTTATTGTGAACGTTGAACCAAAGAAAATGCTACGCTTTACGATATTAGCCGCAGTGGTAAGTTTTTCTATATTTTTGTCGTAAATTGCAAGCCATTTCTTGGTTCTCGTGAATGAAAATCAAGTTATTATATCCGGAAAATTGAAAACTAACGATGATTTTCAATTTTCATCTTAGAGTTCAAGGTTACGTCTTACTTTAAACGATATTATATTATTTCATCATTTTCTTAATGTACAATTTAAATGGATTACATTTTTTAATAAGTGCTAAACAACTTGACGTAAAAAATACATTGTGTTGAAATTAAAAGTATCGTGTAACGTATAGAAATATGTACCTACATTATACAGTTACCCCTCAGTATTAATCTATATATAAAAGAAAGTCGTGTTAGTTACATTATTTATAACCCAAGAACGGCTATATCGATTTGGATGAAAATTGGTGAGGATGTAGCTTAGAGCCAGGAGACGGACATAGGATACTTTTTACTCAATACTTATTTTTTACTTTTAACCGAAAATCAAGAACGGGTATGGGAAATATCGGGATTGCGCGTACGAAGTCGCGGGCAGAAGCTAGTTGTTAAATAAGTAGCTTATATTATCTTAAAGAAGATTTCGCACAGCTTCAGTCCTGAAACGAAGCTTCAGTGCTAGTAGTGTCTATGCATGCAAGTACTAGGTGACTTAGATCATCATACGTGGGCGATACAGCCGCCATGCCGTCTGCAGATTACAATTAGCTACATATTAATGAAAACAATCCAATATTATAGAAATTACATTGACGTAAGTGTAGGTAGTTACTGTTTGTGTACTAAAGTACACATACACTGTGTGTAATGCTCATTAAATGTATGTGTGTATTACCCACGTGTGTGTAAACGTGATATTTGTTATTATCAATAGTTAAATTGATTTTGATGATCGCTAACACTTTTTGTTAATGTTAGTAATTATAATTGTGTTTTTCTACAGCACTTAGGTTCTTTATTGTCATTATAAGTTGTATTGTGATTAATTATGCTATCAATTTAATTTTAACTTATAAGTTAGGATTATTTACCTAGATTTTTTTTAATAGATAGATATTAGAAATTTAAAATGATTATAAATAAGTAAGTATGTACAATGTAAAATTTATACTTTTCTCGAAATTTTATAATAGGTAGTGTTTTCATAAAGAATATAATTTACACTAGCGACCTTATACACAAAACATTTTTTAAATAGATTCAATATGTAGGTACATGTTTCATAAGATATATAAAATTAATTATTATGTATTCGGCTTCGTCGAGTTCCCCGTCAAACAGTTACATGTGAGAGCCGAAAATATAACAATTAAGATTCAATAGGTACAGTTGCGAAATGGTAGGTCATTCGTCCATGCAAAATCACCGTTTTTAGTCTACCTAGAATAATCTAGCACGTGTATAATGGGTGATAGACTGATGCTTTTTTCTTTTTATTTTACTACTACTTATAGACAAATAAATTAATAATACTGGTATTTTAATGTAAATTCAATGTTACGGTCGAAATTATTAGGAATGCGGTTTCGTACCTATTTGGTGACACATAAGAGTAGAAATAGTGCGAATTAAATTTGTAGAAACTTTATATTAAAAACCTTGAGGTTTCATTTGAATATCAAATAGAATCCTTTGGTTTAAAATAAATAAAAATATACCCATTACTACGTGGCTATTGTATGTGTAAGGAATTTTAATATTGCGTAGCGTACTAAAAAAATATTGTGCGAATCCTTAAACCGTTGGTTATTATTTAAACGACTTTTCTAAACATTATAGTAATTGTGGTCACTATCGACCAATATTTCTGTCATCATGGAAATTTAAATTTCATTACTAATACTAAAATATAAAAGAAATATTCAGTATGCAACTAAAATTATCGTAGCAACAGGAAACCAATTTCGTGTGTCGTATGCGTGCACGCACGCTCTAGGGCTTAACATTTCTCCCGGCATTATGTTATTATAGATTGTTATCGAGATTTATTGTGAGATTGGAGATTTATAGAGTTTATATTGTACATATTTATATTTATACTTGAATACGTCTTCGTGCCTTTAACATTATAACTTTAACAGAGCGCAACTGCGCAAGTCTTTTGCCGTATAAAAAGCTTGATACTATATCAGTCAGTATAATATCAGTAAAGTACCTAATCGACGCTCCCAACCAAGAACTCGGTAATGTGCTATTATCGGGTTTATGCTGTTATGTCAATTTCGGCGCGTATGGACTCGAATACACCTTGACAATTTTTCTCAGATTTTTCCTAATAATAGTTACAAAGATATCATGACGCACATGTTTATTGTTGGGAATTAATACACAATAATATCTCGGCAAAAAACATGTTATACATTTGTACGAAAAAACAATTTATATTTTATTTTGGTAAGTTGCGATTACCGGGTTATTGCCGTAAATAATTTTCATGAAGATTTAGGTAAACGTGTGTACGGGGTTTTTGTTGAATTCATTGTAAAATACGTATTCCGTAATACACACTAACAATGTTATTGAAGATTGGTATTGTTATTGTGGTAATTTAAATAATATTTTAAATTACCACAATAACTCCGTAAAAACACGTTATGTATCAGCCCCACGATAAAAAAAACCCCGTAGAAGTCCATAATATAATGTTATGAAATATTTCATTTGATAAATTTACTGCAATAATCCCGTAAGTACTATTACCATAATATTTTATGTATAAAATTTTAGGTATTATTTATTTTCCTAAATTACTAGGTATCTAATAAAAGGAATGTAATTTTAATGGCACAGGTATATTCCGCAAAAAAATAGCTTTCATTTAACACATCAATGACTTCAATAGTCCCACTCGTTGAAAAGGTATTTGATAAAATCAGTAAATCTTTTCTCCTGTAAAATTTTGATTTATCGATTACTGGGTTATTGTTTGGAAGCGTCGCTATGTACTTTACGCATCTTTCACAGAATAATTAATATTTGTATAAACTAATTAATAAATAATTCTTTTATAAAACTACGTTTAAAAAAATCCACTTCAACCCCTTTTTTATTTGGAGGTCGGTTTATCAATATACCTACTAAAACCTTCTAAGTCTAACATTAACTTTTCTGAAAACCACATCAAAATCGGTTCTGCCAATCGCGAGATAATCTCGCACAAACATACATACATATACAGGTTAAACTGAGAACCTTCTCCTTTTCTGAAGCCGGTTAATAATAATCACTGAAGTTAATACCAACTGTAAAATTTTCGCGTGTCGTTTGATTATATTATAATTACATTTATTTTCAGTCTCATTACATTGTTTCAATTCAAATAATTGTAAGGAGGTACTTAATTTGTTTAATTCTCGATATTTATGTGAGAATATCAGAGTTTCATGTAAATCAGTCGGAGATACTATCATATTTGTTAATTAATAATCACTGTTCGTGTTTATAAACATTATTACAGCGATCAGTAACCCCGTAGTGAAGCTTGTCAAGGCGATAGAATTAATTAGTTTTACTATTAAGTATCTACTATTGAAATTATATAGATAGCCAGGCATTGTATTTAGTAAACATGCAATGATTTATGATAGAAAATTTTAATTTTAGCATCTTATGTATCAACCAATCCGGGATTAATTAATACGACGACATGCCATAGAGACGTAGGTAGTAGTAATAGTAAATAGGTATGTATGTACGAACAGCTTTGTGAATTAGTAATTGTTAGTCTTCAGAGGTTCGAAATAGCTATCACAATAAAATTATTTTGTAGCTATAGGTGTCTTGTGTACATCACTTCTTTCAAGAGAAACCCTTTGGATCTAACTCCCGGCAAAGTTTTAGACTAATCGTTATATACCTAATTTATCGTAATGGACTTTGTAATAGAAATAGATTAAATGATGTAGTGATGGAAAGGTCCACCAGGTCATGACAAAGATCGAGCTCCTTCCAGAACGATCTTGTTTCCGCTATCGTTGTAAAAATAAAATAAATATCAACATACCTGTTGTTGTGTCTTCGATAGAATACTGTTACAATAAATTTAAGTAAAGTTTCACAATAATTTTGTACAGGATTCTGTCATGTTTGCTGACATTGACAAGATGGAAATTGACGGTTGATCATAATAAAATTGTAAACAGAGGATTTTTAAAAAGAGTTTTTTTTAGTTTATTTAATTCTGAGTTTTATTTGTGCAATTTAGAAATTTAATAAAAAAGGCTATTGTTGCTATTTGAAAAAAAAACAGTTTCAGCAACAGCAGGCAACAGCGTATGATTTAGAATATTACTAAAAATCTTCACGGAAAAAAATATTCAGTATCGTAAAATCTAAATCTGCACTGCGACCTTGTTATGACCAAATAGGTAATATAGGTATGTGTCACAAATTCATTAGCAAGAAATCGCACTCAAACAGGTCCAGACGTTTCCGAGAAACGCGCAAACTGTCAAACATTATCATTCATTACTTCCGCTCCTTGAAATAAATAGGTAAGTTAAATATTGAACCTCGTTTCCATATACAAGTCCATATACAAGTAAAGAGCCTCTTATCTATTTCATTATTTTCCTTGCAAAACATGTTTTTACGTGGAACTTTTAGTTACTGTGACATTGTTCGAAGGTGATGTGTTAACGAGCTAGTAACCAGTTGCAGTACGGGGTTGATTTACTAGTTTAGCGTGCACTGTGTCGCATTTATTTTTTGCAGAAGGCTTGAGCATAGAATGCAAACATACGAATTACGACTTTCAGAACTTAAAAATACAGTATATTTTGCTTTAAGTACAACAAGATTCATTGATTTTAATATTAAGTATGTCTATTAGGCAAGAACTTTATTCATAAACTCAGTGATGTTTTGTTTCCGTATAACATATTTTGGGTGAATACGTGCTCTCTGTGTCTTTTATTACGTACATACTACTTCAAAAAGTTCAAATATCAAAACAACACGATTATAAATAAAACAAAAAAAATAATAATGAACCATCACAAACAAAACGGACATTAATCAATAACCATTGGATATCCGTGAAACGTAATCTTTTGGCAAAAAATATTATTGAAATACATTTTAAATAGCTCATCATTATTTATAGAATTCCGTAAATAAATATCACTTGTTATGTATAATACATAATATGATTATCTTAGAGGTTGAAATTTTAATCATAGCAAGTACTGTTTACAAAGCCAATTAATATACCTATGACATAGTTGCAAAACGATTTAATTATGGTGCTTATTATAATAAACTAGCGACCCGCCCCGGCTTCGCACGGGTGCAATATGAATGTATTATACATACAAACCTTCCTTAAGAATCACTCTATCTATTAAAAAAAACCGCATCAAAATCCATTGCGTAGTTTTAAAGATCTAAGCATACATACGGACATACAGCGAAAGCGACTTTGTTTTATACTATGTATTGATGATTAGGTACTTCCCTATAAGTAAATACTTATTTACATTTCTTTACTAATATGGCATGACTGCACGGTAGGCGCGGTGGCTAGACAGCCGGTGTACAACTCTTTGTGTGATCCACAGATTGTTGTGCCGGGTCTGAGTGTGATGTGTATGTGAACTTGTAAGTTTGTAAATGACACAGGGAAAATCCTAGTATCAGGCAACGTAAAATATGAGCATTGAGCTCATTCAAAGTATAAGAGCATTTCCATACAAAGCTTTGTTAATCTGAATATTGTTAAAATATTGCTTCAATATAATGCATAGTCAACTATAGAAAAAATACAAAGTAAAATGTACAAAATACTTAACTCCTGTCTGTCTGTTTGTCTACCGTCTGTTGCATTATTTTATGACAGCTTCATGTCAAAATGTCAGTCAAACCAATTACAAACCCGGGTAGCAACGCGTTTAAAAATTAATGACCAATTAAAACAAAGCAATTAATGTTTTAAAGTAAATATTTACCATACAAAATATTTTAAAGCTAAACAATGGCGAATAAAAATATTTGTGTAACTTATAAATGGAAAATATTTTTTTTTTTGTTAGGGCAAGACCCACTTTTTCAGTCAGTGTTATCAACAATTAAAATTATTGGTTTCAATATTATTATTGTTCTTAAAAGAGTCTGGTTGGGTAGCTCTTTAAATTCCCCTATTACTAAATAAATTATTATGTACGGAACACTATATGTATTTAAATTATAGTTATGGTACGTTGTGGACCAGTTTTTGTCGAAAAATTTAGAATCGAATTAGGTTTTTCCAAACGTCGTGTTCAATATTTCAAAATATAATATCGATGTTTTAAAGTCAGTGAAGTATTAAGTATTTGTAATCTGATTCTTTGAATCGAACTTTGAATATTCTTAAAATCTAAGGTCTAGTATATTAATTCGTCGAGTACCGGTTTTGTAGACACAATTATAGAACAATAGGTTGCGGTCACCGGTGACCGCTTGGTGTTTGACAGTTTAATTATTATATTTTCGGCTAACTGTGTGTAAAAGTGTGGGAGAGCCATGCTTCGGCACGAATGGGCCGGCTCGACCGGAGTGATACCACGGCCTCACAGAAAACCGACGTGAAGCAACACTTGCGTTGTGTTTCGTCATGTGAGTGACGTTACCGTAGGCCCAATTACCCTCCCCTTCCCCAATCTCCGCAATTCCTGAATCCCAACGATCCTCAAACTCCTAATCCCCAAAAGGCCGGTAACGCACTTGTAACGCCTCTGGTGTTCCAGGTGTCCATGGGCGACGCCGATTGCTTACCATCAGGTGACGCGTCTGCTCGTTTACCGGCTTATGCCATTAAAAAAAAATAACTCATGTAATAAGAGTAACAGCGCGACAGTCGCCGTGTCGCGTGTCGCGGAATGCTCAAAAATATGAGCCTATAGCATGACTTGAAACGAGTCGAGATTCGTCGTGCATTGACGTGAGTAGGTAAGCCGAAAACACAATAAATTATTTAATATATCTCATGAAAGTTTTACCATCTAATATCAATAATTCTGTACAAATATAGTTTTCAATTTCTAATCATCTAACATTTCTCTCCTCGTAAATTTAGAAACATTATTATCTAAGGTATAGACAGTAACATCAATCCCTGAGATAGCTCTCGTGTCCAGTATCATGGAAGACCATTAGTTATGTAAGGTTATCGTACAAACATTGACATTGGCTAAGTAAAGAGAGACAATGGAAATTCTTGTTTATTATGAAAGCCATAGGTTTTATAACATTATCATTAATACTTAAGATTACTTGAAGCTTGCATTTCTAACTTACGACTAATCTGTAAATAGTAAAGGTACTGTTACACATAGTAATTTAGTACGAAAGTAGTAGCATGTGTGTGTTGTTGCTCAACAGTAGCCAGCTCATTTCAGGCATGTTTGGAAATCAATTCGTTCGATTTTTTAATATTTTTGAGTGTCAAGGTGCACATTATACCACTGTACATTGTAACACCCACTTTTCACTATTTATGTTATGAGTCCCATGTAATAGGGGGTGAGCCTACCATATATGAGATTTTTTTAAAAACCCAGTAATACTTTGGCCGACCTAGGAATCGAGCCCGAGACCCCTTGCTTGGCAATCGCACTTACGACCGCTCGGCCAACGAGGATTAAAAACTAAAGATACTATGAATAGGGTTTAGGCATTATACATTATAGACACAATAGGCATTCCTATTATAAAAACTATTATTATTATTTTAACATCGGAAGCAGGAAAATATCACTAACAGATTACTGACAATATCATTAAGTGTTGAAATGATGAATGCGATGAGATGTTTTATTTCTTAATATCCATTCATATTCATGAGAGATGACAGTTCCTGGTGACCTTCAGACAAACCTTGGGGTGAATGGTGGATCCTGTTATTATACCTTCGAGATGGCTGTAGGGCTTGATCAATTTGATATAGGATACGGTGAAATTGGACGCGAAAGGTCGTGCTTGTATAATAGATGAGTTAAGATATTTCTAGAACTTTTGAGTAACATTTAAACTGTCATGTTAGTTTAGACTAAATTGTCTAGATTAGTCCTTGATAGTTTTCTATTACCCTTTTCTATGTTTAATAAGAATTTTTTTCCTGTTCTTCTGAACTCCAAACAACTTAGGTAAAGCTTGTTGTTGATAGGGATAGTTGATAGCTTGTGTGTAGCAATTTTGGCTTTTGGGATACTATAGATCTTGTACTATGTACCTTATAGATCGTCAAACGCTAAAAAGCGTTATCTATATCACGTATAAGGATCTAGAACATTTCCATACAATGTCATGCGAACAGGAATCCTTCTTCGAAAATTTCGTGAATTTTTTGAACTATTAGCATTTAGTTATCGTTCCGCATTGTGAAGCCACGTTCAGAGCAAACCGTTCGAAACGGTTTGGTCTAGAATAAAGTTTACTTACATGGAATACTAATTAATGGTGTAAGGTCGAATTTGGTCGGTGATTCACCTTGTACACTACTTCTTTCTCACATAAATTCTCTTTCATTACTGACTACTTGTAAATTAGTTCTTTGGTGATTTATTGTTCTACAGTAACACGTGGCTTAACGTTTTCATTACATCATTATATTAAGCAAATCGTTTTTGAGTAAACCATCCAAGGCTTATTTGCGAACCATTTAAATCTTTTGTCTTATGTATTACATAATATACGTAGGGCTTTGTATCTCATAGGGCTAATGAGTGTGATAAAGAAGTTTTAGTCTCAACTATTTTAATTATTTACCAAAAAGTGTCTTATCGACATCACCTCCAAACATTTCGCTGTGCTCATAGCTGCAAGCACACGCAACTTGCTTGCATTATCATCCGTTCAAGTTCACGGCTCCAAACCAGTTTGTAGTTCTTGGAGGCGAACATTGATTTGTGCTTTTTGTGCACACGACTACACGTTTAGCCATACATAACCAGTTAATCGTGGTCTCGCGTTGTATGATCTTTACGCACTTTCAACGGTTACTTTATACTGGTTTGTTTAGCTTAATGTGTATTGTCAAGTCACCTTTCCCAAATGCTTACGTCACAATCCAAAGTTAACAAGTTACGTATATTGTGTGTAAGAATTTTTTACCGGAGGCC